AGAAGTGGCTGTCCTGCAAAATCACTCTGTGTTAGTCCAAATTACCTCTGTGCAAAAAGAAAGAAAGGAGCCGTTCAAAGCTTATCCCAAATAAGATCCTCCCCAGTGCAGATACAAAACCTGGAAAAGTACTAGGCAGTTACTAGGAGTTTTGGGAGGGGATCTGAACATAAGTACCAACTCTGAGGTGTGAGTTTGCACCTACCTCCTGAGAGGCCCATCTGCAAAGACAACTGTGCAACAGTGCGCTTGGGGCATGAGCTCTGTGGGCTACCCATGCCGTAACAACTGAAATGTAAAATTTCGGGGGGGGGAGGTATCTGCAGTGGACTTGGATGGTTGGAGAGAACCGTTTTCACTGTATGAAGCATTTACAGCACAGTGGGACCCAAACTTTGGATTCCTCATGTTTTATTGACAAATTCATGTAAAGACATAGCCAGCTTCTTAATGAGAGCTGAATGGGCATTATCCCCTTCCTCCCCCAGCAGGCAAGCTTAAATAAAGTTTCTCAGCTGCCAACCTTGCCCTGAGATTAGCAAGGGGGGCAACACCGCAGGATGTTTCGACCTTTCAGGGGTAAGGCATGCCATCCACTTGCGAGGCAGCAGAGTGACAGCAGCAGCAGGGCTGCACTGTGGGGGTAGATCCTACAAGCACATGGGGGTAGGCCCTGCAAGCACGCCTGGCAGCTCTTCAGTCAGAGAGGGAAAGCACCGAGTTGCCAGAACAGGCTGCCTTCACAGGCAGAGAAAGAGCTAATTTCAACTAATTCACAGGGAGTCCTGGGCTCTGAACCAAGGGAATGGACTCATTCTGGTTCTCATCCGTTCTTCGTGGACTGGTCACTGCTACCTGTACAGTGGCTGAGACCTGCCCTTTTGGATAGCCCTAGCGTTCCTCCACTAGCCAGGCAATGTTATGGTGGCCACAGCCGATATCTCACACAGCACATTGCGATCCGTCTGGAAGGGCACTGGATATACATTTACAAAGCAATGTAAAGCTTACATACCGAGTGTGTATTTTCAGCACTGGTAATGCAAAGAAACATAGAATTGCACAAAGCTCCATAATCATAGAATCAGAATGGTTTGGGTTGGAAGGAACCTTATAGGTCACCTTATAGGTCATCTCGTTCTAGCCCCTCTGCCATGGGCAGGGACACCTTCCACCAGACCAGGTTGCTCAAAGCCCCGTCCAACCTGGCCTTGAACACTGCCAGGGAGGGGGAAGCCACAGCTTCTCTGGGCAACCTGTGACAGAGACACACACCACTCAGGGTAAAGCA